GACAGGAGACTGAGGAAGGCTGGCGTCAGAGAGCCGTCCTCACACGGCGATAAGTCTCCATCGCCAGGAGACAGAAGGACTTTTCGCCACGTCCCTCCAGTGTGTGTTTTAAATTTCGAATCGCCAGCTGACAAAAGACAAAATAGAGCAATCCAAATAGGTATTAATCGATGCTGATGGCTCAACCACACACAATGAAGAAGCAACTGCCCAAGGAGTGTCTTGGAACCTTTCGTACGGAAGCATGACATTCTAGAGCTGGGCTGTTTCAGCCAGCATAGCCACATTTTAAAAAGCAGCTTTACAGTCTCAAATGCATTCAAGGTAAACTCAAATGAAGGCACTGATCAAAATTAAGGAGGAAAGGGGAGAGAGATTAAATCTAAAACCTGTCTTTAAATAACTCTTTTCAATGACTGCTTTAAGCCTATGGCAAAAGGCTAAATGTCTTGAGATGCAAGCTTAACTGAAAACGAATATAGTTGAAACTTGAAAAGCTATCCTGACTTTAAAGGAAAAACTTTAAGATCTTAATTAGCAGAATTCATCTATTCTAAATCTAATAGTTGATGATACTCACTCCAATTCAAAAGTTTAGTCAGGTAGCATCAAATACAATGGCTTGCTTTTTAAATCTGCTAACCAAAAAGGGGCCAAATCAGGTGTTTGGAGGAACACTAATAGACATCTAGTCCTGCGGTCCCCGACCCCCAGGCTGAGGACCGGTAAGGTCCGTGGCCTGTTAGGAACTGGGTTGCACAGCAGGAGGTGAGCGGCGGGCAAGCCAGTGCAGCTTCGCCTGTATTTACAGCTGCTCCCCAAGGCTCACATCACCACCTGAGCATTAGATTCTCATAGGAGCATGAACCCTACTGTGAACTGCACATGTGAGAGATCTCGGTTGCGCTCTCCTTATGAGAGTCTGATGCCTGATGATCTGAGGTGGAGCTGAGGCGGTGATGCTAGCGCTGGGGAGCAGCTGCAAATGCAGATTATCATTAGCAGAGAGGTTTGACTGCACAAGAGACCATAATAAATCAATTGCTTGCAGACTCATATCAAAACCCCATCAGCGAGTGGCAAGTGACAATTAAGCTGCATCTGGTGGCAGGCTTTAAGTCAGAATCTGACAGTTACTAACATTTTAGTCTGTGCATGGCCAGCCCATTATTACACCACTTCCATCTGCGCCTCTTTCCTGCACCGCGCACTTGTCTCAGTCACAGCTTTGGTAAGCCCACAAGCTAACCCTAGCACAAATGAGTGAAAAACTAACATCGCTGGAGAGCTGCTTTGAAAAGGGGGAAAGAGGCCAGGCATCGTGGCTCACGCCTATACTTCTAGCACTCTGGGAGGATCTCTTAAGGACAGGAGTTCAAGACCAGTCTGAGCAAGAGCGAGATCCATCTCTACTAAAAATAGAAAAAATTAGCCGGGCATGGTGGCACGCGCCTGTAATCCCAGGTGCTCGGGAGGCTGAGGCAGGAGGATTACTTGAGCCCAGGAGTTTGAGGTTGCTGTGAGCTATCCTGATGCCATAGCACTCTAGCCTGGGTGACAGAGCAAGATTCTTGTCTCTTAAAAAAAAAGAAAAAAGAAAACGGGGAAAGACCTAATGATGAGACAGCAGAAGACTGTTAAAACTGCCACAAAATTAAAGCTGCATTTAAAAGAAAATACCAAGATTCCTACTTAAATTATGGGTTCGTTTCAACAGGTGATTCACATTCTCCAAGCCCAGTTTGTATATGTGGCAAACAGCTAGCCAACGAAGCCATGAAACCTTCAAAACTGCTTCGCCACATGGAGACCAAGCACCCTGCATTAAAAGACAAGCTTTTGGAGTTTTTCAAAAGGAAAAAACATGAACACAAAGAACAGAAGCCATTATTGAAGGCCACTGCTTCATCCAATGTGTCTGCACTGAGAGCATCATTCTTAGTGGTTAACCAGATTGCTAAAGCTAAGAAGCCCTTTCCTATTGGTTAAGAGTTGATCTTGCCGGCTGCTAAGCACATTTGCCATGAATTTTTAGGAGAGGCTGCAGTTCAAAAGGTGGCATATGTTCCTCTTTCGGCCAGCACCATAACTAGATGAACTGATGAAATAGCAGAGGATACTGAGGCACAATTATTACAGAGGATTAATGAGTCGCGGTGGTACCCAATCCAGGTTTCTGAGTCTACCAATGTTGACAACAAGGCAACAATGTTTGTTTTTCTATGATATATTTTTCAGGAGGATGTGCATAAGGATATGTTTTGGTAAATACTTCTTGAGTACTGTGCTAGGTGCTAGGTGCTGTTCTAGGCCAAGGAAAAAAAAAAACAAATAAAATATAATGCTAGCCAACAGAAGTTAAAAATCTAGCTTGGAAGAAAGAAATAAGTTTAAACATAAAACCAATCAAGCCAACTGATGGAACTAGGCACAGTGCTTCCCAGGCAGTATGGGCACGCCGGAAAGAGGATGCAGTCTGCTGGGGGCCGAGGAGGTGGCCTGTGTAACGGAGGAGATAGAGACCCAGCTAGCAAGCATTAAGGACAAGCTATGAGAGGAGCCCCCAGATCTGGCAGAGGTTAGGGTGGGGCACATCCTCAGGAGATGGCACACAGGCAAACCAGCGTGTGCTGCGGGCACCCTATGTAGGCTTGTCTTGAGCAGGGTTTTACTTCCCTTTTGAGTCTTAGCAGCATTTTACACATGGCCTGCTTTTTTATACGGTTAGATTTTCTTTTGCTCAGCATTTTTTAAAAACCATTTTGAAAAAAAATCACGTTGCATGTTTTTCCATTGTGTGGATAATAAAGACAGAATGCCTTTGACCCAGGGTGACCACAGTCTCAATTTACATCTTACGTCCTGACATCCCATTCGATTTAGCATTTGTTCCAGACAAAAGTGTCCCGGTTTAGATGACAGATTGTATGACTGCCCTTTCTCGACCTCAAGGTATGGTCCAAAGGGAGACATCTTTCTCTGCCACTGCTGTTTGCCACATATGCCAACTGCTCGAATGTTCGAGCGCAGCAACAGCTCAATTATCGAATCTTCACAGAACAAAGGTTCCTTTAATAAAGCGAGACTGGACTGGAAGGAGCTGGAAAACGATCTTGTATCCTAAGCCCCCGGCTGGGGCAGAGAGGCTGAAAAGGAGAAGGGCATTTCAGGCACAGGCCTCTCGCGGGTGGTCCGCCAACTGCGGCTGGGAGGGAGGCCCCACGCCCCACCAACCCCAGTCCTCTGAGCTGGAGCCATATCCGTCATCAGCTGGGGGGGCAAGGAGAGATGAAGTGCTCTGCTCCCCCCACCATCGCCCGCCCATCTCACTCTGCCCCTCCAACCACCCCCCACCTTAGGCCAAGTGACCCAGGCAACCTCCCTTGGAGACAAAGGACGGGGAGCCCCACAGACCATAAACCCCGTCTTTAAACACACCAACGTCTACAGGATTTCTACCACGTGAAAGTTTCTGACCAGGCCCCTCGTGAAAACCGCCGCCCTTCCTCCCCCATCCATTATCCTGTCTACAGGTTCCAATTCCTATCCAGCCTCTTCTCTGCCAAGGGAGAATGCGGTGTCCAGTCGGGCACAGTGCTGGAGGGGATGCAAGGTGACGAGGCTGGGAGAGAAGGCACGTTTGCTGGCCCGGGGCTCTGCAGGGCACGGGGGATGGCAGAGAACACACACTTCGAACCCTCCAGGCTGTGACTGCCACCTTACAACACGACAGAGCCGCAGACCACGAGAGTCCCGCTGGGGTTCCTCCCCAACTCCAGCACGCCAGTTACGAAGAAACTTACCCTTCTCTTATACTCACACACCAGGACACAAGTGGTTTTAAAGGATTTGCCCAAGATAACTTGGAGGGAGAACGCAAGTCATCGGGCAAAATTACAAGGTGGTGACGCCCTGGAGTGAGAAGCCAACTTGGCATTAACCTGCACCGCCACCTCACACTTCCATTTGAGACCCACCGGGAAGCGGGTCCTTAGGGAGCTGCGGCTTCAGAGGAAGCTGACGGCTGAGAGGCAGGTGGGGGAGGGGTCTGTGTGTGTCTATTTATTAATTTAAGAAAATGAAGAACAGAACCAGCGTTCAGAGTTTCTGACTCATTTTCTGGCACTTGGTCCATGAGGCCACACACCGTTTATCTTTCTAATTAACATTCTGAAGGATAATTCCTTTCCACCCGGGCCCCTAGAAATGAACCTGCCTGCTATCATATGAACAGTCAAAACTCAAGGCTCGATTTGCTTGCCTCTTCTAAGATTTGGAACCCAATTCCCCTACAACTTTAACCTCAGATCTTCTTAACAGGCTGAGAAATACAATCTGAATCAATTTTACTTTTTTTTTTTTAAATGAAAGGGTTTGATTTAAAAAAACAAACAAAAAAACCCAATCAAGTTTGCTTTTTTTGCTTTTTTTTTTGAGACAGAGTCTCACTCTGTTGCCCTCCCTGGCTAGTACAGTGGTGTCACCATAGCTCAGTGCAACCTCAAACTCCTGGGCTCAGTCTCCTAAGTAGGTGGGAGAAACACTACAGGCATGTTTTTCTATTTTTTAGTAGAGACGGGTATCACTTTTGCTCAGGCTGGTCTCGAACTCCTGAGGTCAAGCGATCTTCCCGCCTCATCCTCCCAGAGTGCTAGGATCACAGGTGTGAGTCACTTCGCCTGGCCCCCAAACTGTATTTTTCTACTGAGAAAAAAAACAAAACACCAGAACCTAATTTCCTCATGAAATGAGCCCATACGGAGGACAAACTTGTTAACCACTGTTGTGATGCAAACCTGTGCATACCCACCACTCCCCACTCCAAAATGTGGTCCCTGGACCAGCTGCAGCAGCATCACTTACTACATCAGAATCTCTGGAGGTGGGGCCCAGTGAACTCATTTTAAGAAGCCTTCCAGGGGATTCTGAGGTCCACCTAAATTTGAAAAGTATTTGCCAAGTTCTGCAGAACTCACTGGAAAAAAACAAAGCAAACATACCTGGCTCCAAAGATGTCCTTTTTGGCGAGATCAATCCCGGAAACAACTTTTACTCTGAGAATACGGGACTCTCCCTGTTGGACAGGAATTAAAAAAAAAATTTAACAAACTGATCTTCAATGGCTCCCTCTCACCCAATATTAAAGTCAACGATTTCTACTCAGCCCAGTACTTGGATACAGAGCAAATCAATTCAAGCATAAGCAATTTTTCCATATATTGAAGTTCAAAAGCCAACATTCCAGCTCTAAAATTCTTTGACTCTAGAAACTTACAGCATCCAGGTTAATTAAATACAAATTTAATTCCAACTAGGTTATTAACATCAATTCTTCCTGACATTTAAAGGAACTATTTCCCAGTTGTACCAAGAGCACAATCACATACATAAAATCACTGAGGGAAATGTCCAAACTCAACAAGTGAGCATGAATATAACAAATAATTCCTCCTTTGAAGTTTATATATCTGTATGTGTGGCCTGGGATAGAAAGGAATTTAATATGGTAAAATATTTCCTCAAAATTACAGTGCTTTTCAAAATGTTGGCATCAGCAAGCGAAAATAATTCCATAGTTGCAGTAAAAAGAAATTAAAAAAATATTATCATAAATGGAAATCATCCCAAGTGATTCAGCAATCAGTCAACTGTTCATTTGTTCATTCATTCACTCACCCATTTCTTCATTCATTCCAGTATTTCCTAAGCAGCTCCTACACACTAGGCCTTGAAATGTTGACATGAAATGCTCCTGGGTCTACTGAAGGTGGCAGGCAGACCCGCAGGACCCTGTGACAGCACCCTGCCAGAGGCATGGGTGAGAGAAGTATTCGAGGGCTGAGACACTCAGGGTAGCCGAGATGGCTTAGGAGGACTGGTAGGCAGGAGTCTGGGGCAACTGTTAAGCTTCCAATGTGGATCACAAACTGTTAGCATAAATGGAAATACAGGCTCAAGTCCAAGGTGCCTGTGAACAACGAGATGGGAAAAAATAGATGGCTAGATGGGGAGAAACATCTGGTTTGAGTCGCAGACTTCGGAGTTATCAGTGTAGAGTTGGTAGTTGACAGTCACAGCCAAAGGTTTGCAGAACGTTATCCAAGAAGAGTGAGAAGGAAAAATGGGCAGGGATTGAGTCTTGGAGGAAGCAAGTGCTGAGCGGCCAGAGAGAAGTTAACAGGAAATCCATCTACCAATTTAATCAAGACCCGGTGAGGGAAAGAAAACCCGAATGATCATGTAACGTCGAAGGAGATAAAGACACAGCGAAACCAAACAGGAAGAACAGGAGGGTGGACCTTTATGAACTGGCTGCACAGATCAAACACACGCACAGGCAATCGGAGCACGTCCTTGAGGTGATTTACACTCTGGGAACCTTCCATCCAGCCGTGTGTCCCCGACACAGGCCGCCCATGTGCAAACACTGCTAGGCACACGGACACGGTGAAGACGGCGCTCTCAAGCTGTGCGTGCTTACGATCTCTCAAACGTGGCCTGCGCTCAAGCTCGGCAGCATCTAAAACATCTGGCAGCCCTCGAAGAAGGATTAGAGATGAAAAGCAGCACCGGCCAAGGCAGGGATAACTGGAACACAACCTTACTATGGCATAAGAGCACCTCGGCGTTTGCGGAAGCACCGGGGTCAAAGAGCTCTTCCCTGGGTTTTTGAGGCACCGCGGGGACACCTCGACTATCTCTGGCAAACTCACAGGCAAACTCACAGGCGGGTGGCCAGGGATTCTTTCTTTAGCACTGGATGCCATGCAGGCTCTTTTCTGTTCCTCACAGCAGGCTGTCCCCTGCTGCTAGTCCTTTGATGGCTCCCATGGCCTGCTCAGTTCAAAGGATGTCACAGTGAAATTGTTTTCTATACATAGTTCAAAACTTGAAAACACGCCTGAGCGGAGTTCTCTGTTACATGTAAGAGAAGAGTATGTGGCCCACTCGTGCTCATAGTATATAAAGTAAAAATCATGGCTTGAAACAAAACCCTTGTCTGCCAGGCTAAGGGATTCAAATTTGACCTCAGAGGCAATGAGGACTCATTCAGAAGAAGAAATGGATGGCAGGTGCATAGCTTGGGTGTTTGTCTCCCCAAACCTCATGTTGAAGTTTGATCCCCAGGTGTTGGAGGTGGGGCCTGGTGGGAGAGCCCTCATGAATGGCTTGGTACCATCCCTGTCCTCAAGGTAATGAGGGAGTTCTTGCTCTTAGTTCCTGCCAGAGCTGGTTGTTAAAAAGAGCCTGGCACCTCCCCCCGCCCATCTCTCGCCATGTGATCTCTGCACACACGGGCTCCCCTTCGCCTGCTGCTCTGAGTGGAAGCAGCTCAAGGCCCTCACCAGATACAGATGCCAGTGCCATGCTTCTTGTACAGTCTGTAGAACCATGAGCCAAATGAACCTCTTTTCTTTATGACTTACCCAGCCCCAGGTATTCCTTTACAGCAATGCAAAAATGGGCAAAGACAACAAGAAACTGCTAGAAAAGAGGCACCTAATTTTTGTCTCCCTACTTCCCCCACCTGCACTCTCTACCCCTCCTGCCATCGCAGATACTTCAAACCAGCCATTCTGCCAGCTACTACTGTGCAGGGGGGAATTCCACTGCAACCCACAGAGGGTGGATACTGTTGAAGCCAAGTGGCAAATCTCCAGGCCAACCCTTGCAGGTGGCCGAAGGAGCAGCAGATGTCTGATCTGGCCACAGGAAGGCTGACGTGGCCTTTAAGGAGCAGAATTTGGGGTGTCTGCTAAGCACCAGGTCCTGCCTACGACCAGCTGAGATCCAGCAGCAGTTCCGTCCGCACGCCGTAGTCTCGCTCTTGTAACTGACCAGAAGGAGACAGAGAAGCAACTGTGTCTAGGAAGGAAACCCAGGTACAGTCACTCGCAAGTCACAGCGCAGAAGATGAGAATTCTGGTGAGAAACTGTCTCCTTCTTGGAATTTTCAGAAATCCTGGGTAGAATCTTGGATGTTCCACAAACTTGATAGGGGGCTCACTTAAACCAGAACTGGCTTTGAAGGAATAAAGTAAGTACTAACACCTGGTTCCCTGACGTTTACATTAATGTCAGGTGAATGTTCTTACTTTTGGCAAGCCTACCTTCCAAAGGCAGGCAAAATCAGGCCACATTTATATGAATAAATGATTACAAATAAATTTAAAGGGTAATTTTTATGAAAATCTACCCCTGTTCTAAGATCTAAGGATACAGCAATAAAGAAGACAAGACTACCCCCCACACACACCCCAGCCGGACTATTTTCTGGTGTATGAAGAGTACGTTTTATAAGGGCTCTCAACTGTGTGGGAAACAGAAATCAGTAGTTTTTCTGAAAGGCAAGAGCCATACACACCAAACACCTTAAAATTCTGTATAGAATCCCTTTCACCAGACAAAACCTCATTTAGGAATCATTCCCAAGGAAAGCACAGACAGATGCAAATAAAACAAAAAACTAGCTAAAAGGATAATAACCAAAGCATTTTTTAAATTTAAAAACGTCTAAAAGCCCCTGAATAGTAGACAGCTAATTCCATGCAATGGGCTATAACACTGTCATTAAAAGCAGGTGAGAACCCACAACGACATTCCTTCATTTCACAAATATTCACGGAGCACCCACCACGTGCCAGACACGTTATCTGAAGACAGAGTTATGTAAACAAGACAGAGTTCCTGCCTCGAGGAACCCCGGATCTAGCAGGCAGACTGTGAATACATAGTGCAAACAAGCATGAGGATTTCTGATGGTGGTAAGTACTTTGAAGACAAAATGACAGTCACACAAAAGCAACTGAGTAGAGGGAGAGGGGTGGAAAATTTACAGCTGGGTGGTCAGGAAAGGCCTCTTTGGAGAGAAGACAGGAGCTGAAGGAGGCAGAGTGAAGAGGCAGGGCTGGGGTTCCAGGCAGGGCCAGAGTAAGGTCCCGAGGGGGAGGCGGTGGAGGGGAAGCAGTGAGCAGGGCGGCAGGGAGTACGGTGGGGTCAAAGCCCAGAGAGGCCAGCCTTGGCAGAGGGTGCACATTACTCCATCTGCTTGCAGGGAAGCACTGCAAAGTTTTAAGCGGAGAAGTGAGGAAATGTGGCTTAAGTTTTTGAAAGAACCCCTGTGGGGAATGGGCTAGAGGGGAGCCTGAGCAGGAGGGAGCACAATTAAGAGATTCTGGCAAGAGACGGTGGCGGAGCTCTTAACAAAAGTGCAGATGGAGAGGTGACCGGATCCCGCATACAAAAACATGTTCAAAATAAAGTGTTGGGTTAGGAAAAAAAGTTTCCAAACGGTATACAACTGAGTTTTGGACAGCTCGTTGTTCAACCAGCTGTTTCCCTTTTCTACCTGGACACGTGGCTCAACTACATTTCCCAGCCTTCCTTGCAGTTAGGGGCAGTCACATGACTCGGTTCTGGCCAATGGAACGTGGGCAGAAATGTAGCGGCCTCTCCTAAACCAGGCCCATACACCCTCCCACTCAGCACCCTCCATTCTCCTCACCCCTCTGCTAAATGGGGAGGACCCTGGTGGCCAAGAGGAGGAAACTGCATGAAGGGGATCGAGCTGAGCACCTCCACTACTCCCCACTACCCTCCCCAGACCGTGAGCTGGAAATAGACTTTTTCTGTTTATTCCCACTGAAACCAAGGGTGGCTATAGCAGTTAGCCTGCCCTCGTGTACAATATACTCTTTTTTTAAAAAAAATGTCAATGATACATGTGCAAAGGAAAAGGCCTGGAAAGGATGGTGTTAATAGTGATTACCTCTAATGAATAACTTTTTTGCGTATTTGCATTCTTTCCTTTTGAAACATTAAATATTTTTGTTTGAAAGCTAAACTTTCATAGAAACTTCAGAAAATACGTAAGAAAAACAAAGGAATAAGTTTAAATCGCTGGTAAATCAATGGCACCATCCAGGCTTGCTGTATTTCTAAAATGAATAAACCTAGTTTTGTCATAAGAAATACACACCTTCGAGTTATTTTTTAGCCAACTGACAATGGCATAGAGCCATATGCCTGGAAGATGTGAAAAGGTTCTCTGATGAAATACGCAGGCAACAGCTG